TGGGTGCTGGCCATGGATTTTCCAGCACTCAGCAAGGGTCAACGCTTCATCAGAAGAGAAACTTGTGGCCGGGATCATTTGTTCTGGGGAAGAACCCAGCTAGAAACCTGCCTGGCTTCGTTTTAAACAGGGGGTCTGGTTTTGTCGGGGGATTTTTAGTTATTTAAGAGGTTTTCCCACAGAGGATTCACTTGTGTGTGTTTGTCACGCTCTTGTTTTGAGAAGGGAGTTTGCTGCTGAGGCACGTTGGGTGTAGGATGCTCCTGAAGTCCCTGGTGTAGCTGGTTGTAGTTATTTCTAAACTACCTGGTTTTATACCATTTCTTCTAAAGAGTTGAACGTTTAGAACGAAAAAAACCCCAACAAAACCATGTTTAGATGTTTTCTGAAGAAACAAACCAAAGAAGTTATTTTATTATACAATTCTCTGTCACCAGAGTCCTTTCCTAGTCTCATTTGGAGGACAAAAATGCTGTTGCATGTCCCAGACCCACGATCTTCTGTCTCCACTTACCCTTGCCCGCTCCCTGCATGTGCTTCACCCCACAACCCTCACCACGACACCAGCACCCACATCACCACGACATCAGCCTCAGTGTGGCTGCAGAGGAGCGGGATGTAGCCTGACTGTGCTGGGATTTGCCACCAGTGGCAACCCAAGTGTGTCACCCTGAGCCCCAGCTCTGCCCCAGACCCTGCAGCAAGTAGAAGAGGTGCTTAGTCAGCCGAGACCTGTGCCCTGGGCGCTGGTGCCGACTGCAGACAGGGCTTTTTATGCCTTGTGGAAGTCGCTCAGGGAAGTCACCCTTGGTGAGGCTCTCGAGCCTTTCCCAGCCTGTAGCAATGATAAGAGAGCACTTCCAGCTGCTGCCTGGAATGGGCTTGGCTGGTTTTTAATAGCTCTTTTTCAGCTGAGTAGCTGCCAGGAATAGTTTGTGGTTTGAAAGAGGTTTTTTTCCCCATTAGGAGCTGTTTAAAGCCCTCTGAAACACGTGCTGTGTGGAAGTGCCCCACGCTTCCCCCCTGAGAGGAAGACTGACATAACTGAGCACAAGAGGGGTTTTAACCTCCCCTTGCTGCCCACAGACACGGCCCAGGCTCTTCCTGCTGCAAAGAGCTGTTCATCCATTGCAGGCTGGATGAATGGGGCTGACCCCGGGGCAGCATCCTCGCTGCTCCAGAGCTCTGGAGTGCTGGGATGTCTGTTTGCTCTGTGCTGCAGGCGGGATCTGGGGATCCCAGGCTGGCAATAGTCTCTCCCTGGTTTTGGGCTCTGGGGCTGGAGCAGTGCAGGGATCCTGACACTGTCCTGGCTCGGTCCACCCAAGGCACAGAGAAGCAAAAGGCTGAAAAGCAGCAGAGGGGACCCCTTGTTCCCACCTCTGCCTTGAGCCAGGACTGATCCCGGAACCCCCTCGCAGCTGTGTTAAGCCTGGCCCTGAAACCCCACAAAGGAAGCTGCACAAGGGGACCCTCACCCCGCTTTCTGGTGCTCAGCTACCAGCACATCCCACCTCTGCCCAGCTGAGCTGCTTTACTCCAAGGAGCTGCAGCCGCTCCCTTGCTCTGCTTTGACCTGGCTCAGTGCGTGCGCTGGGTGCTGGGTGCTGGTGCTGGAAGACCCAGCACAGGCAGGTTGGAGCAGCCCTTTGGGAGCTTTCCAGGCTGGTGGTGTTCTGGGCACCGGTGCTGGCTGCAGGCTCCTTGTCGGCACTGCCAGACCCCTCTCCAGGTCTTCCCGCTCCCATTATCCACAGTCTCCTCCCAGCCCAGACCCCCTCATGCTGCGTTGGTGGGAATCTCTGCACAGTAAGGTTTCTCCTTGTGCGGCCCCGCAGCCAGTGTGGCAGCAGGGGATCTCCCTTGTAAATATTGACCTTTGTAAGAGCATCCAAACCCCCAGCACGAGCATCCTGCTCGGCTTCCAGGAAAGAGGCTTTGCTGGAAAAGCCTGCAGGGGTACCCTGGGGTGCAGCAATTCCCCACCAGCTCCCACCCGGACCACAGCAGGCGGCCACAGACCGACCTCGGGGGGATCATAAGATGAATCAGTTGAAAAGGTGAAGAGGATAAAAGCCCCTTTTGGTTTACAGTGAAGTTTCCAAAGCCAGGAGGGAGAAGAGGAACAGTCGGCAGCTTCCTGGTAACTGTAGTGACTGGTTCCCTTATGAGCTGTGGCTGAGGGACAAGTCCATGATGGCATTTAGATGTGGCTGTAGCGCTCTCCAAGGGACGACTCCGGAGAGTTAGTGCCCAGAGGATGATTTTCCAGGGCGCTGCTTGCAAAGCCCGGGCGCTCTCTGGGCCGTGCTTCCCTCTGCTGTTCAACAGCTAAAACCAGGGCAGGAAACAACCCAACGCAGCCGAAGCACCGTGCGACGCCTGGGCACGGGCTGGCGCGGTGCTGTGGCTGCAGCCAGGTGTGTGATGAGTCAGGACCCCCCATCCCACCAAACCTCCCGTGGGAGCCGCCTCGATCCACGCGGGAGCCGCTCGGACATGCTTCAGTGCGGTGAGAAGGTGCTGGGCTGGCGCCGGGGAGTGGAACGTGGTGAACATGGTACGTGATGAACATGGGCTGCAGGAATCACTGCGAGTTTTCCCAGTGAGGTCACAGAGAGCTGGCTCATGCCTTGACCCAGTGGGGAGCCGGGATTGCGGGAGGAAACCAAAGAGGGAATTTTCAAGGGATGCGGAGGGGATGGGACTGGTGCAGACTCAGTCCTGCTCGTTGGAGCAGGGTCCGGCCGCTTGGTCCTGGGGCTGCAGCCTTGGCACAGGGCAGGTAAATTCGCTCTCTGCCTGCACATTTCCCCCTGGTTTTGTTTTGGACGAGGGGGGTTGTGGAGGACTATTTGGAACAAAACAGGCACACGAGCGATCCAGGACTCATGTCAATAGCAGGAGTCTGACTTAGGCACCATGGCCTAGTGATAAGGTTATTTAAAGGATATTTGCAGCTGTGGAATGAGGGAGCTGGCTTGAGCAAGACAACTCCCGGTTAGGTAACAGAAACTCTGCATACTTTAGGGCTGATAATGCCTTCACGTGTACTGAAAGCTTAAGCTTATCATGAGCTGCATTTATGTGCGTGCACTAGTGCATTGGCTAAGGCCAACTGGGATTGTGCAGAGCTCGTGTGGCCAGTTAGAAAGGTTCTATAAACAGCTCTTGGGGCTCAATAAAGGGTCAGCATTTAACCATATTGGTTGTTGTGTGTCCGTATCTCCCGCAGGGGTTCTTCACCCCCTGCCCTCACGTGTCGCTCAGGCACTCGAGGAGCGTAACACACACTGACCGTGTTTCAGTTCACCCATCGCTGTTCCAGGAAAGCACCAATTTTACCTTCTTTTGAGCAGGAATCTCTTTGTCCTCCAACTGTAAGGTTTTTTCTTCTGCTGACTGTGATCCTCTGTGTTGTTTGTCCAGGATTTCCCCGCTCAGACTCATCCTGTCCTGCTCTATGTGCTGTTTCTGCAGTGACCCGAGAATGGGACCGGGCTCAGGCGGTGCCACTGCTGCAGATGGAGAGCACCGGCACCTTCGGAGAGGCAGAGGTGAGGCTGAGGAAGTCAGAATGTCTCAAAGGAGGAGCTGAAGCACCCAGGGCAAACCACCCTGTGCTCAGCTGGACTGGGGTGACAGTGACCTGAGAGAGGACCCAAGGCTCGGGCAGGGGAATGGGTGCTGTGGGGCTCAGGACAAAGCCACTGCAACCACCACCACCTCATGTGGTGGCACTGGTGGTGCTGGGTTGGACCCTGACCTGCTGTGATGCAGCACCAGCTTTCACTCACCCTGCTATAACTTTCCAGTCCTTCTTTGCTGCAGGAGGTCTCCATATGAATTTGTTTCTGTCTGAGCCCCTCGGGGCTCTCAGGGGGTGAAGTCCCAAAATGAGCAGAAGCAGCAGCAGCTGAATCCCTGTACCTACAGAAAGCAGTGACCGAGGGGCCCTGACCTGCCCTGTGCCAGCACTGAGCCTGTGGCTGCACTGGGGCGATGGGCTCTGTCGCTCTGCTCACGGTGGGTCTCCTCTCACAGCACCATGGCCAGGCTCTGGTGCCACCAGCCTTGGCCACGCACATGGGACCAGGGAGGTGCTTTTCCTCCCATGGGATCTCCCCTCATCCCCTGCCCTTGTTTCCTCCCCTTCTCAGTCTGTAATTTCTGTTCCCTCCTGTGTTCGAGGAGCTTCCCGAGAGTGGGATGTCCCAGCGAGCACCCAGAGGCACAGCAGACATGGCCAGTTCCCAGCCTGGGCTGGCTGGATGCAGGGAAACCGGGAGCCAAGGACCAGGCAGTGGGATGGTGTCAGCTCGACGTGCCAGGTAAGGGGGTGGACAGTGCTCCTGGGCTGAGTGTGGCTCGTAACCATTGACGTGCATCTGGCCAGAGCTGGGAGGACCTCCACCTCCTCATCACTTCTACTTCTCGTAATGAAATGAGACTTTTTTGCCTCATGTTGGCCAAACCCAGGATCTGACCGATAAATCCTGTTAATGAAGATGTGGAAACCCCGGTGAAAAACATTATTGAAAAGGAAATGGTTTCGTTTGTCAATATTATTCCTATTAAAGAACACTTTGGCAGCCTGGTGACCCTGTTGCCAAAGGGTCCTTGCGTCAGAGCCCATCCAGCCTCAGGGTGAACTGGGGGGGTCATGCACCCCCCTTTCCCTGACTACCTGGGCTGGGGCCCTTCTTTGCCCATTGTGAAATGTGATGAGCTTGCAAAGTCCCACTTGTCACAGGTCGAGTAAG